TTCCAGACAGAACCATGACAGAAATGTTTATTCAGTGTATCTTAACTCAAGCTCTTACGAATAACAATATTGCAGGTTTACCACACTAAATTATTTACTTTGAAATTTCCTTTTTTCTGGAACTTTGCCTTCAGTTGTATCCAATTATTCGGTTTCCTCTCATTCAACCTCCTAAATCAGTAGTTTCTGTGGAGGTGAAGGAAAGACAGGGCATAGAGATGCATTATAAAACACTGGAAAGCAATCCCAGCAACCTAAAACAGAACTTCAGGACTCTGCTGTCTACCTCAGTCCTCCTTACCCACTGCCTTTCAATGCCAACACTTGAATTTAACTGTTTTACATTGTTTGTCAGCTGGCAGACACAGTACACACACACTGACTGCCAGCCAGCCCATATATAACTCTGGAATAGCCAAAGGATGTCTCCTACTTAAATGATACCAGAGGCAACGTGGAGCAAGAAGGACAGAATTTCTGTGTCATCCCAAAATCATGGTAATGGGGCAGGGAATACAAGGCTGCAAGAAAACAGATTTTGTTACATCTGCTCTTCACAGGATCCATATTTTCTTCGTATCTTTTCCTCTTCCTGTAACTTCATCTTGCTAAACACAAAGACAAGGGGAACAATATGTTGCCTAAATAATTATAGATGGAGACCTATGCTGAAAAATGGATATAATCATCCAATTCCTTGATTCTGGACATATGTCACATCGCTATATTTTCAGGCACTGGTATCAGCCTCTGTGCTGTATCTGACAGATACCTGGGTTCATTTGTTCTTAAAAAGAGTCCCTACAAAAACCAGTGGGGAAACCAGAACTGCTTTGTTGTGGTGGGCCAGAAAAAATTCATTAGAATCAAGCTCAGTGTAAATGGTTCTTTGAGCTCAGTGGTCTTTGAGACAAACCAGGCTCAGTGCATCTTGCCAAATCCAAAGCACAGCTATGCAGGAAACCTGCCGAGATTTCTGCTGGATCTGATCCAAGCCCAGGGATCCTGTAAGATGTCAGTCCCACACACCAGGTCAGCCAGCTGGTTGCTCTGCCCTGAAGCAGGAGAGCACCTTCAGAGATGAACACTGAGTGCAAATAAACT